GAGAGTTGCACCGGACACACTCACGACTCACGACTGCATGGTGACACTTGACCCTTGGTGGGTGGCTGGCTGCATTGACGCGCGGAGCTCGCGCCCCTCGCTGGCTGGCTGGCTGGCTCTTCTCCCTCGAAAATGGGTACAAAATCGTGCAATCTTCGCTTTCCTGATCTTGTCCATCACCATCCCGTCACTCACAACCGCGATCAAAGCTATTTGATGCCAAATCTTGTCCATCAGGCCGGGTGAAATACGCAGCTCGATCACCATTGCGCGTGCGCGCGTGTCACACACGTATACGCCCACCGCGCTTCCGCGCGCACTCAACACCACCGCGGCAACAGCAGCAGCATAGCAACCTCTGCTTTAATCCCCCACCCGCGGCCCTCGGCGCACTCAGACTTCCGCGTCTAAGCACACCGATTACAATTGCGAAGTGCACCTTTATCCAATCGAGCTACGTTGAGTCGAAGTAGGCCAGTTCGAGCACGCGCCCAAGGCACCAAGGAACGGAGAACACGTACGTACGTGCATCAGGTGTCAGAAGCGCCACCGCGTCATTTGGGCGTAGATAGCCAGCCGCGGTCCTTGATTCGTGATTATATACCTGCCATCAGTCTCCAAGCGCTGCTTTCCGGCGACGTTGCGCTGCTCATCTGCATCATCATCAACATCAGTCAGCAGCCTCGCCACATCGGGCGCATCGTCTTGCACGACTCACCCACCACCTTGGTGATCCCATCCTCGTGCGCTTCACTCAGCGTGGCATCGTCATCACCCTTGCTACAGAGGCCGTTGCGATCTCGCATTTTGGATCCCTGGCAGCGCTGTCAGCTCGTTCGAGCAAGCAGCAGACCTAAACAGAGTGTGAGTGGTCAATCGCCCTCAAGACGCCTCGAGAGTGAGAGGGAGAGCGAGAGAGCGAGCGAGCGAGCGCCGGCGGATTCGGGCAGAGCACGCGACTGGCAATCTCATCGGGCCGATTTCAGTCGTCTTGCCGCGCTGATCAACTCATCGTCCGTACGGGCGCAGTGGCTTGAGTGGCTCTGCGTAGCCAATCTCGACACCTCGCTCCTATCAGCAAGACCATCTTCAACTTGATTGTCTCGCACATCATGTCGCCACCAACCGGTACTGGTGATGAGCAAAGCTCGACGCCTACCGCTATCGACTCCTCCCAAGATACAGCGCACCAGACTGCTGCCTCGCCTGCGCGCGCTCCGAACCCTGCAACGGCGACCGCTCCAGTCTCGCAAAACGGCGAATCTTTACCCCCTGCACCCAGCACCGAGGCGGCAGCTCACTTGGCTGCAGCGAGGGATCAGGCAGCGCGGGAACGGGAAAGAAGAGCAAAGGAGCTGCTCAGCGATAACAGCGACACGGAGTCTGGAATGTCCAGACCTCCATCCCCGGATCGTGGAATGTACCCAAAGAGGAGATTAGGTGGATTGCAGAGCAAAGACAACGTCGTTGTCAGACACGACTCGACGGAGACGGATGGTCTGAAGCTTGTTCGAGAAAGCTCTCCCTTCAACAGAAGACAAGTGTCGGAAAGCGAGCGTGGGCCCGCAGACTTGCCTCAAGTGGCGACGCCCACTCAAGCTTCTGTCGGTAACAACGGTATCAAGTCGCCACCGACCAATCCAAGTGTCAGAGCGTCAAGTCCACCTCCGAGAGCCATGTCGCCACCGATGAAGGCGGTCGCTCAGACAAAGATCAATGGCCGAAATGACACTCTGCGGGATGTGCCACACGAGGGCAAGCTGCCTCCTCCTGTCCCCATTCCTTCGGACAGCAGTGCCGTCCCCAAAGCCAATGCCGCACAGTCGGCAAACGGCGCTACTAGCAGCAGCGCGTCCGCAGCTGGTAGTCCCCCTCTGCAGGCCGCGTCCGGCCAAGCAGGTGCGGCTGTCACGACAGCGTCGTCACCAACGGAAAAGCCAAAAGATCATCGCGGCATGCTCAGACGCATGTTGTCCGGTAGCGGCGGTGGCGATCACGCTTCCAGACCGGAGGGCAAACGCGCAGAATCGTCTCGCAGTGGCACACCTCCAGGCAGTCCGCGAGGTGAACAGCCTGATAGCCTGATGCACGCTGTTCAAGGCATGAACCTCGCGCCTGGAGGTGCCAATGGCGCACCGAAGAGCCCAGGTAGCAGCGCTCCACCAAGCCGAAACACGAGCGTCAAGAGCTCGTCTAAAGCTGCTCATACCGCTTCCAAAGATGCAGCGGCTGCTAATTCAGCTGGACCAGGTGCTGCTCCACCGACGCCCGGAGCGCCGGGCGGCTCGCGCTTGACAGCCGCCGCGCTCCGGGATTGGGAAGCGAAAGATACGGGAAAGTCGAAGAAGCAGTCCAAGCCGGACGACGCAAAGTCGTCGGCGTCATCGACTTTGAGGGACGTCATTCTGGGCGGCGCGCCCCTGCTCTCGCGCAGAGGTAGCAATACCAGCGCTGGTGGAAGAAGCGAAGGAGGAAGCAAAAAGGGGAGCGAAAGCGGAAAGGAGACGACTAGCTTGCTCAAAAAGTATGGCGTGTGCGAAAAAGCGGCCATCGGAAAGGGCGCCACTGCCGTCGTGCGACTGGCCCACAAGTGGGACAGGTCGACGGAAAAGCTGTATGCAGTCAAGGTAAGCACTTGCTTGGTTATTCTTTCGCGCCATCATTCTCCCGCAAGGCTAGGCTGACTTCAAGCTTGCGACGGCGACGCCACCGTCTTTCCATGACAGGAATTTCGGAAACGCCGCAAGAACGAGACGGAAAAGGAGTACGTCAAGAAGTTGACCTCTGAGTTTTGCATCAGCTCCACCTTGCATCACATCAACATCGTCGAGACGGTCGACCTGGTGCAAGATGAGAATCGACACTGGTGCGAGGTGATGGAGTACTGTCCGGGTGGTGACTTGTACGCAGCGATCAAGCGAGGGGGCATGAGCCAAACAGAAGTGGAGTGCTGCTTCAAGCAGATTATCCACGGCATTGCCTATCTGCACAGCATGGGTGTTGCGCACCGCGACATCAAGCCGGAGAACTTGTTGTTGGATGCCAGTGGCCACGTCAAGATTACCGACTTTGGCGTGTCGGACGTGTTCAGAATGTGTTGGGAGAAGAGCACGCACTACTCCAAAGGATTGTGCGGGTCGGAACCTTATATCGCGCCGGAGCAATTCGAGCACAAGGAGTACGATGCCAGGTTGGTGGATGTTTGGGCAGCAGCCGTCGTCTTCTACTGCATGCAATTCCAAGAGTTGCCGTGGAGGGTGGCGAAAATGTCCGACCCGACCTTCAAGGATTTCGTGCACGGATACCACGGCTCTTCGGCACCTGCGCCGCTCTCCAACTTGTCCCCAAGAGAGTGCAGACCTCTGCTCAAGAAGATGCTTTGTCCTGATCCGAAGGGACGTTTGTTCACAGAAGACATCCTCAAGGACCCTTGGTTCGTCTCTGTGCAGCTCTGCGAAAACGGCACGGCTGCGGATGGACACAAGCACACCATTCCTGCCGCTGGTCAACGCGAAAGAGATTCTTAGAACGTCGGAAAAGTTCGATTGCGAAAAAGTCGTTGCATCTACTCTTCTGTTCGAAACATCCAAAAGAAACACCCATCCACCCTTGCACTCGAATTGCCCATTCTTCCGACTCACCCTCCACCCTCAACATGTCCACATCTTCCATGTGCTTCCAATCAATCCGCGCAACCGACACATTGCACGTCACCTTTGTCAACACTTTGCCACTGTTCCGCCTCGAATCGTTCGCACTCATGCCAAACGTCGCGACAAGGAGCGATTCATGAACGCTCCTCACCTTGCCTCCTTCAAGATGCTCGCCCAGCGTTGCCTCGCATTGATCCGCTAGCCCTTATCTTCACAAACCTTACCCTTGTTGTCCTCGACCACACTCCTCAGCCCCGCTTCCCCCGCGCCCCTCTCGCCGTTTTGCGCCTCTTCCTACTTTGGTGTGATCAGCGCATATATGTTGTAATTCGCACTTATTTGAGAGTATCATGATGACCTCCCCCCATTCGATGCTTGATAGCAGCGCTTTGCGGACGAAGCACAGCTTCAGCTTCGGCTTCGGCTTCGGCTCCAGCGCACTGGGACAAGATTCGTGCATAGTTGCGAGTGAGGAACGAGAATGGCGTGATCAAGTAGGCGTCGTGGTATGATACAAGAATTGCAAGGAGAGAAAGAGCAGGCGAGCGGGGGGGTTACAATTTTGGTGAATGATTGAGAAGACATGGTAAATGCTGCTTC